AGTTACGCGGGAAAGTATTAAACCATTTTTCTGCACCAACAATAGAAATAGAAACTGTCTTCCTATGCTTTAGAGTTGATTGAAATGGAAACTTTTTATAAGTATTAAAATAGTAATTAAACTTCAACCATATTAAAATATTGTATAAAGAGTAGGGACAAAATTGACATGCATATTTCTACAAATATCATCCTTTCAAATTTTCTAACTTGAAAAAGTGGCTTGCATATTTTTTTGCTGTCGAATGTTGGTTGATGTTTATTTACACCAAAAATCATAGTGTCAGCGAAGAAAATCACGATTTTATTTTCAGACCACAGTAAAAATGTAAGAATGGCTTCTTCTTTTTTTCTTTTTCTTTTTTCTCCATCAACAGCATGCCAAAAAGATTATGAGAAAAAAAAAACTCTGAATTTATCCGGTCGTTTTTCATATAAGACACAGAAATATCATGTGGTGTTACTGCCAAATTCACAAGGGAAGTTTTCAGTGATGAAAATTGGGATCAAATAAGTCCACAATGCTATAAGAGGGCTCTAAATCCTGTTGGCATTGATGAAAAGTGTGTTGTGTATTTATTTATCTTGATACAAAGGAGAGAACATGTAGCACAAAAGCAATGTAGAACACAGTAATTTTTGCATAGAGAACGTTAATTTTTATCTTGATACAAAGGAGAGAACATGTAGCACAAAAGCAACGTAGAACACAGTAATTTTTGCATAGAGAACGTTAATTAGTGATGTCTACTTCTTGGATAAAGGAAGAGGTGCCAAGGATGATGTAGCACAAGCAAGAGCCTTTATCACGCCATGGCCATGGACACGTGGCTAAACCATGGCCATGTGAGCCAAGGATGATGTAGCACAAGCAAGAGCCTTTATCACGCCAGTAATTCTGGGCTTGACATTAGAACACAGAGAGGTAAGAGCGCCTTGGTTTCCACCGTAGGTGAGATCAATGTTAGTCAACTCCACATTCTCACAAGGTATGCCCCTGGTACATACAAGCTTGACTGCAAGTGGAGTGAAAGATGAGCCCTTAATGTTCTTGAAGCTGACACTAATGCTGATCTTAACTTTTGACGGAGGCTTTTGGTCACACCGAGTATATGGGCAGCAAAATCGGTCTATGAGGATAGGGTTATTGACATTAACCATGATAATATCCTCAAAGTGCATATCTAAGGCAGTGCTAGGCGAAGGAGAATCCATGTTTTGATTCTCACGCCGTTCCGCGTATTAGTCAGGGTGCAGTTCTTAACTATGATCCCGGTCACATCCTTTTCTTCCTTATATCTTCCAAGGCTTCCAATGCTTATTCCATGGCCTGGCCCACAAGTAACATCAGTCACTGTAATTTGGTGGGAGTCATCACCAATAGAAACACTAGTCGAAGCCCCGATATGGATTCCATCTGTGTTTCTGCTCTCGCTAGGTGCTGTGATGGTAAGATGTTGAAACATAGTATGGTTGCACCGGAAAACAAGCATGTGGAAATTTTTGCTGTTAAGTGAAGTTATGTCCTAAACTTTGGAATTGGTGATGAATTCGAACCGCAGATTAACGGGAATAGGTTTGCAATTTTTGTTTTTGTGGCAGTCATTTTGACTCCAAGCAAGTGCTCCTTGGCCATTAAAATCCCACCAC